ACCGCCAGCCTATAATTTCCCCGCGCTGTCTATACGAATATATATGTACTCGGTCGTTTCCCTCATTTTCCGCTGTATTGCTAACAAACTAAATAAATTGCTTATTTAGTTTGTTAGCAATTATCTTAATTTAGCAATTATTAGTAAAGAATGTTTTCATTTATATTCCTTTATTATACCTCGGTCATCTTTCTAAAACGTATTTTCTACTTCGATATCATTCAGATGTATACTGCTTCTCAAATAAACAATCGACTTTAATCGTCAACACATCCATAAAACGCAGACCGGATTGAGATCCAGAGGGGAATATTCCAGGGCGATTGTTTGAGTCCACTTTGGTTTTTCCTGTCCTTGAATCCTCTCAGTACTTTACAGGGGGCCCTGAACTTCGGCCGACTGAGCTTCTGCCGAGGGTTAATTTGCCATCTCCTATCCTTAAGAGGGAGATGTGAATTTTGTAAAAATTTAAAATAATAATAATAATTACTATATTAAATATTATTAAGACATAAAAAATATCGGCTGTTTTCATTATCAGAAAATTAAAATGGGGTCAAAACGAGAATAAACTTTATTGATTGTTAAAGAGATTTGTGAAAATCACTTCAGTTTTCACGAAGCTATTGCGCAACATACATATGTGCAAATATTCAGACGAATTGAAAACCCCAGTTATTTGGAAATCGCTTATAAACTTTTAAAAAGGAGACCGTTCTCTGCAATGCAATTTAACAAAGTTTATTGTGTATTTTATAATTCCTTTTTTCATATTTCCCTTAATGAAACGGTTGCGGGTAGACGTCGGTGCTGTAAGTTGAGGTCAAGATTAATATAAAATCATGTAGTTCTTGTTTTTAACAGTAATTAATTTACAGTAACATAATATCTCAGTGTAGTCCTGTCACAGAATGGGCCACCCCTTCCTTTCCTATGAGTGTCGTAAAAAGAACTTAGTAAAACGCCCCAAGAAGGAGGGGGGAGGGGCCTGTTTCCAGCAGTGGACAGTTAATGGCTAAAAAAGGTTTTTACACAATCATCTCTAGGTCCACAGTGTAAGTACTATTTTTTATCTAGGTAGAGTTTAAATTATATAATCTAAGATATAGATAAACTATCGAGTATTCAAAATGTCTCAAATTCAGTTGTCTAATTTGACATTTGCCTAACATTTTTTTTTTTATCAAAAGAAAATCCGCTTTGTCTAATAGTGGCAGTAACTAAATTGAAAACTTTCCAGATCAAGTGGATTTCTTAAAGTCGAATTGAAAACAATTTTTTCTATTATGATATAAATATATATAATACGTACTGCTTACAAATTAATTTATATACATATATTAACTAATATGGCAACCATTTTCAATTATTTAAAAACGAAAATATATTTTACGTTTATACCTGCTCATATCTTGTTCTTTCAAATGTATTAAAAATTTGTAAGAATTTTGTATCATTTTCATTTTTCAATTTAACCATACAAATATAATTTCTCCTACATTACTTAATTAGTTAACTTATTTTAGCAAAACATTTGTATGGTGACACTCTATCTATATAAAGTCTACATTCCCTTGGTTATATACTCTTTAAGGTCTACTGGATAGTTTAGAGGTATTTACGGAAATAGAAACGGATTTTTTTTCTAAAAAAAAACAATTGCCAGAACAATATAATCTTATCAGCACAAAAATAAGATTAGCCCTAATATGCAAACAAATAAGGCAAATAAAAAAATAAAGACAAATATGTTTTTTACGGTACGAATGTTTTTTTTTTTTTTTTCTTTATTACAAAGCTAAAACTATTGCCAGAATAACGTAGTGTTGCCAGCATTAAAAATATAATTAGTCCTTATTCACAACAGAGACTCTGTAATTTTGACAGAAATTAATTGCAATCTTTAGGGTATTAAGCTGAGATTAATAAGGATCGCTGGTTGCAAGGCGAGTTTATCTCCCGTTTAAAACTAAGTATATAATATTATAGTCGCTGCTCCAATGGCATATTTATAATACAATTATTCGAAAATTTAAATTTAAAAATAACTCTTTTATAGGTCATGATGAACTAAATTCAAATATTTTTTAATCAAATCTATTACAAATTATGTTCATAATGGTGCTTAAAATATATATTTTACTGTAATATCAAATTGAAATTTTAATTTTCGAAATAGGTTTAGGAAAATGATGTATCAGAGTCGACCCTTATTATTGGATTATATAAAACAAATAAACATATTATTATATTAATATTAAAACTGTATAGAAATTTCTCAGAGAAACATCCTGGATACTAGTTGCCTGTGCTGCTGAGAGCCAATTATTTTCCAAAGCTCCAGCCTCACTAGCCATGGTCGCTATAGCAACGTGTTATAAAGCTACTCACTAGATATTTACCTGGTAAATTATTGCAAGACAAATCTATTTAAAAACGAACAATTATATGTACAATAATTAAATATAATCTGACATCCAAATTGACATTAATGCATGTATATAAGCTACCTATCAATATAATTATGTGGGTACATAAAATCAAATATACACAGAAGATAAAAAAATTACAGAAGTTTGTTAGATAGCTCTACAGTAAACTATATGGGTACCATATAGGTTATCCTCATTTATGACCGATCACTTTTCTATTAGGTATGGTGGAATATACTTTACTAGAAGCAAAGCAACTTGTCTCTCTACTAGAATACTTCTATAATATAATTAGGGAAATAAAGTACGATGCGTCTATGTTGAATCTTATAAGCATTTTGTCCCAGAACTACATATGTAAACGTGACCGCAAAAATTATTTTTTTTTATACAGCTTAGAATGGCAAACAAGCTGACGGCCCACCGGATGGAAAGTGGTAACCGTCGCTATATAGACATATGACATGAGCAGACTACAGACATGAGCAGTACCATGGACATAACAGAGTATACTGTTTCGCCCATGATACCCCCCATGCGTTGTCATTCCTAAGGACTCGGGTATTATTCCTCTATTAATATTTGCTCTACCACGCAACAGAACATTCTATGCTGATCAGGCGCCACTCAAGAGGGCGCTACGTCTGTTCACCAAGGTAGTAGCGAATTCAGAACTGGCCTTTTTCCATTGTACTGCACTAGAGTTTCGCAGAGCGATAACAAAACACACAGTTGAAAATTAAAAAATTAAAAAAATACGTTACAAAAAACAATATTAAAAATTTAAACTTAAAGATTTTTTTTTTAATGTTTATAAGTATAATTAGAATTTTTATTGTTGTCATTAGTATTTTCATTATTGTATTATTATAATGTTCTATTTTTGGTTTTTAGTGAATGCATAAGTAAATCTGTAAAGCTCACCAAAAATATGTATATATTATAAATAAATAAATATAATTTATTTGCATCACTTTACAACACACAAATAACATTAAATATTGGTACATACTTAAAAAATAAATAAAACAATACATATACGTAATAAATTAATAGTAATATAATGTTCGAGGAATTAAAGGTTTAATAATTCCTCGACTATTTTTTATTCATTATAATAAAATTATAACTAGGTACACCTACCTACTAATGATGTCTGTATAATTAGGAAATATTTAAAAAACATTGATATGAGAGGTCTTAATAAGACAACTGAAACCTGAATTTTTAGCTGCCCGTCTATAAATAAAAACTACTACGCCAAATTGGATACTGTATTTGCAGTTATTCTCCTAAAGATCGAACTTAAAATCTGATATGTTTTATGTTAATACGCTACATAGAAAAAGTATATTTCAATAGTTTTCCTACTCTTTGATTTTGAAATTTTAGAATTAATTTTAATTTTAGAATATTTTATACGCGTACTTTGTTTATACAAAATTTTTAAAAAGTGACAAAGTTATATTTATTTATCACAGAGACAATCTCTCAATTTATTTACAACATATATTTTGCTTTTTTTTTTATTATTATTTATTTTATAGTTATAAAGAAGGACACCATCTCTTATAGGTGACCACAAACAATGTGTATCATGCATGATATGAACTTTAAATATCCGCCATCTAGCGTCAATATTAGAAACCATTGCAATATTATACTACAAAAGTTCACTGTCCGTTCAATGGACAGCATTACTCCATAATAATACTAAAGATGTCGTTAATAATCTTTTAAAATAATTATTGCTTTTTTATTATTCATTTTAAATAACGCATGTGTAAATGAAAACTAATTGTAAGAAATATTTATTCCTCATTCACATCACAGTGATAACTGTGTGAAAGGAACAGAGCAACTACGAAAATATAAAAAACTGTGGTTTTGTATAGTATATTATCTGTGCTGTGCTACAAATTTTTTTTCTGTGAATTCGTCTAAGAAATTAAAAATTTTAATTCTTTGTCATTAAATAAAAAGTAAACTTTACAATTTATATTAAATTTCCTTAAAGTCCAGCAATTAATTGACTTTTTTCTGTTTTACAAAGCAAAATTATTTAATATTTATCAAGCATTGACCGTCTACGGAGTTATAGAAAATATTATAATATTTTTATTGAAAATTCTCCTCTTTATTTATTTTTTTTTAGCGTTTTTTTCACCTAAAAAATTTTTTTTAATTTTAGGTACATGACTATTCTCAAGGAATATTATTTCAGCTAAGTTGACCATTAAAGATTTTCAGAATAAAAAAATATAGTAATGTATATATGTATAATACATGCACACATATTACAGGCTGAATAGAGGCTTCTTTGAACAGCTTTAGATCAGCTTGGTGGGATGAACGCGTTACAATATTTTATGCGTTATGAATGGTGCACTTAATTAATTTAGAGACGCTCAAAACGCTCGCTCATTCAGTCCGTATTCAGTAGTCGTGAACCCTGTTCTTTCGCTACGTAAATGCCTACAAAACTTGAAACACTTTTATTTTATTATTAAAACTAATTAATTGTGAAACAATTATTTGTCATACATATTTATATTCTTTTCATGGCAAAGAAATATTAGTCTTTTTTCATATGGCAATATCGCTAAAGTGAGCCATCGCCCTGTTAACTGTGTCATGGCGGTTTGACTTGTTATAAGTTTTTTTTGCAATAACTCTATAGTTAATGTGCTTTTTAGCGATTTGATCTTTGATTTCAACAAATAAAATCACGTGATACAAAATAGTTAATAATGCGCGAATACAAAATAGTTGTGTTAGGTAGCGGAGGCGTGGGAAAGTCTGCCCTCACAGTACAGTTTGTACAAGGCATCTTTGTGGAGAAATACGACCCCACCATCGAAGACAGCTATCGGAAACAGGTGGAAGTGGACGGTCAACAATGCATGCTCGAGATTCTAGACACGGCTGGAACTGAACAATTTACCGCGATGAGAGATTTGTACATGAAAAATGGGCAAGGTTTCGTATTAGTGTATTCGATCACCGCACAATCGACGTTCAACGATCTGCAAGACCTCCGAGAACAAATCCTGCGGGTGAAAGACAAAGACGACGTGCCGATGGTACTGGTGGGCAATAAATATGACTTGGAACCTGAGCGCGTGGTGGGCAAGGAGCAGGGGGCGAACCTCGCGCGTCACTTCAACTGCGCCTTCATGGAGACTTCCGCGAAGGCGAAAATCAACGTGAACGACGTATTTTATGACCTAGTACGACAGATCAACAAGAAGTCACCTGGCACGCAAGAAGGCAAAACGAGGAAGAACAAGGTGTGTCGCCTTCTGTAAGTGTTGTGGGTCTTCGACGCGTCTAGATATGAAATATTAAATAATTTGAAAGACTTCTCGTACCCGGATTTGGCTCTTGACAGTTCCCAAAGTTAACTAGGTCGGGTGTTGAGCATTGTTGCTTGGCGAATATCTGTAGCATTTTGGATATGTGCATTTGTTGATATGTATCATGTTCTGGTGGTGTAGCACGGGTGGGGAATGCACAGAGTATCGTGTCAGGTCTGTATTCACACTCACATCTGAGCACTGCCCTTGTGAACATGTAATTACACATTTTGGTCTATATATATATATATATATAGTTGTGAGATATTTGAGGATAGATTCAACGATTCTCTGTGTGTTTCGCTCTAGAAATTCCATTGTACTGTGTGAATGCTGTTAGGTTCAGAAGTTGTGTATATGATCACGAATTTGATTCACTCAAATATTTAAACATCGATTCACTATTGTCCATGACTAATACATTCCACTGTAAATCATACTCATCATGTAAATTGTCTAGTGTTCATGATTATATTAAACATTCTTGCAATAATGTCATTATTTAATTTTTCTATGTATTTGTTGTGGACTTTCAATCTCATTTAGTAGTGAGGGATGTTGTTAAGTAACATATTATTAAAATCTAACCAGTGCTTTATTCAGACAGCAATTTATTAATATTATTAGTCAACAGGAAAAGTGAGAATTTGCTGTGACATTATCTATCAAGGACAAATTTGAACACAAAATACACTATTTAAACTTCAATTATTGAATGTTTAATTCATTGTATCTGAAAGAATGTAAAAATAATTACCCTGTCTGAGTACAGCACAAACTAACAATAAACTTTTGTCAAATGATTGCTATAAACAGTGGAACTGCCATTGACTTCTGAACATTTAGATTGAGATGTAACCAGGCTCCGACGAGTCCTGGATAGTGCCAGCAGGCCTGAACCAGTGTGTAAGTAATGTTTAATAATTAAGAATACATTAAATTTTTTCAGATATATTATTGTCTTGTTATATAATTCAAATGTATCGAAGGAAAGTTGATGCAACAATGTTTAAGAATTGGTAATCTTTGAACAAATATTAGTGAGCCTTAGGTGAATGCACCCTGCTGACCGTAGTGTCTCCAGTGTCTACCCAGTGGTGTCCCCGTGCCCCGAGCTGTCACCCTGACACCACTTGTAATGGACTATTAAAAACCCCTAATTAAAAATTTTATCGTTATTGTAAATGGAGTAAAGTTTTATGATTACTGGCTCATTGAAATAATAATTACCAACCTATGTTTGCTGCTAAGAACTTTGTTAAAATAATACTTATATAGGTGTTCAAATATTGTTATGGGATCACATGTTTCAGCCATTCTCATTTTGTTAACATGTAAGATTTACTGCACAAGGATATTGGTAATGACTTTGATCTGAGTTGAATTATATTTTTTATATATATTGTGCAAATTATAAACTTGTATATTTTTATCTTTTCACTCAATAATCGACATGTACAATAATTATTAGTTTCTTTTTTTTGCCAATAAAACCAATTTTAAATATTAGCATTGGGGTATGCTTGTCCTTCCCATGGCGGCACTCCTGTCGGGCCAATTGAGGTCGTGGCAGGCGCGTGAGTCACGTCCCAGTCGGCACGCGCGCCCGCACATCGCGACCCCCCCGGCAGCCAATTGACTCGGAATTTTAATGGAATATAATTAATTGAAACAACCATTAAATGCTACAACTATTTTATTGATTTAGATGAGTGTAAAAAGTTTCATAAAATGTGTTACACTTACAATATTGACTAGAGGACAGGTACACGATAATAAACAAACATACTGGCAGTGTGATGTGGCGGGCGTATGTCGATATTCTAGTAACATAAGAATTGACACAGTCCAATGGAAATGAACACAGTAAGTAGGTCTAACTTAACAGCTATGAACTCTAAGCAATCTAATCTGTGATGCAAAACAAGTGTCGGGTTCGTTCAAGTTTTCTGACGCGCCCGGTCATGTGAAACAAGGTCTAGCCTATAGATCGAGCTCACGATGGGGGCGTGTAACAACCGAAATAAATTATCTAACAATAAACAATACTGTAGAATTTTGAAATCGGTTATATAAAGCATGTGAGAGTGCTCAATCTACATACAATTGCGCTCTAGAGCGATGCGTCTCAACTAGGGTCAATACATTTTTAATATTATCTATACAATGCCAAGATCAATCGGAATATTTTATCTTTTTAATAAATAAATTACTAATGCATTATAAAAAATATATATATTTAATGTTTGTAGGGAACACATTTACGGAAACACGTGTCACAATGATCGACAACGCACGAGACTTGTTAGTGTTTATGGGATTCAGTAGTCATTTACCATCCGGGTGACAGTACGCTTGAGTGTCATCCTTTATTATAAAAAGAAACGTGAACAAGTTCATTTACTTATTATATTTATTTCCTAAATAACTATTTATCTTTCCATTGAATAACTTTGTTAACGTTGCATCTTTAGATACTTTTAAATGTTCTGTATCTAAAGCTCTTCAATTAAAGGTTTAAAGAGGTTTCTTCAGGGCTCAGCAACGCACGCGTAATGCCCCTGATATTGTAGGCGTTCATAAGTTACAGTAACCGCTTACCATCAGGTGGACCGTATGCTTGTTTGCCATCTCAGTGGTATAAAAAAAATTTCAAAGACCCTTATTTTTGTCAATTCAATGCCAGCCATCTTGTTATAAATATACACCATACTCTAACTTACGTAAATTTTTCTAGGATTATCAATATTTCGATAATTAAATACAAGTGTTTTTCAATGGTTTTGCTCAACATTTAAAAAAGTAAAGAGGGAAGAATAGATAAGGATGTTCCCTTATTTTTAACGTACAAACTCTCGCCCTGTTATCAATGGAATCCTGTCACACAACATTGAGGCCGCATAAGCATAATATAGTAAATGTATTGTGTAAGTATTAATATTTTTCACAGAGCTGCTAACGCTATCTGCTACGCTTATCAAAACTATTACAATGGGGTCGACCATCCGTGTCCAACGCGGCCTGTACTAGGTTACAATTGGTAATAATAAGCGTCGCACAATTACAACCCCTGGGCCTCAAGCTAATATATCTCATGCTATGATAAATCAGACTACTTCTGGATACATACGGAGTAGAGTTAATTTAGAAGATTTAAAATTAACCCAACTGAGAATCGAAGTCGAGACCTCGTTTTGTATAAACGTGCCTCTAGCGCTGCCACTATGAGGATGGTCATAAAATTAACTGTCTTTTATGACGGTAATAAAATATATTGTTAACGTAAACAATTTACGCATTGAGGCAACGTTCCAAAGATACAGGCAACATTTTCTTTGAATGACAAATATGGCGTCTATTGTATTTTGAGCAAAATATCTATCAGTTCTCAGGCTGCTAGAAACCTTGATGAGACAAACTATATAAAATTCAATACAATATTGAAGTGTATTTCAAATTTCTTATCAATTCATATGAAACGGTAACAACATGCATTACAGTTTTACATCTCATAACCATATACCAATTTAATGGTGTTCCAATTATTCAAAATTTATTTTCAACCTTAAGCTAATATAATTAATATTAGATGCTTTTAAAACTAACAGTAGCACGACATGTCGAGATTCTATCTTCAAGCTATATAGAAAAACAATGTACCAACACAAATGTATGAAGAGGCTTACTATTTAACATGATCTCAAACAAAACTAAAAAAAAATCTTAGTGTAATTGTATGAATTTTGTTATTATACCGATGAGATAGTAATCCCGTCGTGCTACAATAATTTGTAAAAGCAATGAACCTATTTGGTTGATACAATATGGACGTATAGACAATCTTATAATTGACATTTTAAATACTCAGTATTTTTTTTTTATTTTCAATTAAAATGCATATAATATATATAGATACTGATACCGTTTATACTTGTATTTGGCAATAAAGATAACGCCACAATATTTATTGTTATCGGCAAAATTGACTTTATGATAATGTGCTGATAAATGCCATTAGATTGCAACAGTATCAATATTATGAAGTATTCATGTAACTTGACCTTGTGGTCCCAGTATAGAACAGATCACCCTTTCCTTTCTCATGAATGTCATAAGAGACTAAGGGTCGAGGAATGGCCAGCAGCGTCTCTCTTTAAACATCACCAAAATCTAACTGCTGTTGTAAGCCAGCCTGCTAAACGTGACAACTACTGGCAAAACCTCCTAATAGAGGCAAGCCCATGTCCAGCTGTGGACAGTTAACGTCTGATATGACCATTCAAGTAACTGAAAGATTATCCAAATTTATAAATACAAATATCTTTTATTCATCTTAAATTCAAAATCTATAACTAAAAAATTAAAGCGACATGGAAATGTTACATTTTTGATAATTTAAGAATTTGACATTTAATAACTCGGTATATTTTATTACAGTGTCACAATTATATATAGTATACATACATAAAGAATGGATTATTTTATGTTGCCCTACTAGGGCATTACAATACATGCAGAGTGACAATTTACTTAAATACCTACATACATAGATAATTTAGTTTTTAAATGCAACGATCAGTTCATTATTGATAAATAAATATGCTCACGACTATAATCCGTAATGAGGTAGTCGGAGACATATAATGTACATGCATAAAGAATGTATTGAGATCTTATAATTATTTTGTGATGCCCTCCTAGGGCATAACAATATAGGCAGAAAGTCCGACAACTTACATTAAATTAATATCATTCACATATAATTTTGTTTCCAAACACGATCAGTCACATGGTTACAATCAATAATAGGGTAGTCAAAGGAGCACTATAATGTACCCGAATAGAGTGTATTGAGATCTTATAATTATTTTGTGATGCCCTACTAGGGCATAACAATATAGGCAAAAAATTTAAGTAATATACAAAAAAAATTTTACCTACATCGAGTTTCATTCTTATGCACTTAGAAAAGACGGTTTATTTATCTATTTTTACTGCAGTACCATTCCATTGTTCTAAATGCACATTTATCAATTTAATTAATTGACGTAACTCGGACAGGGCAGGACGCAGTACGATGACAATTATTTAATTAAATACCATTATTTAAAATGTATGACGACAGTGTTCCCAGTAATAACTGGTATAAACTAACAAATACATTTTACTATGTTTTTTATCCTCATACAATTACATATAAACACGTGTGACGTCAAATTACGTGTAAATTAACGCGTTGGATACTATATTTCATAAGATAATGAGGCGGCGAGTGCGACTAGAGTGTTCTACCCAATTTCAAGTGCACCTTTACATATATCTCACTAGACGGAATATTTAATCTTATTTATAATAATGACTACATCGATTGACTAGAAATCTTTTCCATGACCAGAAATTTTAGCACTTATCTACCTAGCTAGATACAAAATAATTAATTTGAAAAAAAAATTAAGAAAATAGATTTGAACTGATAGCTTCAGACTTTTCAAAATTGGTTAAATAAAGCATAGTTTAATTCTAATATAATGGGGCCGATTGTAAGACATTTCTCTAAATCCATAGCTAAAATTAATATTTCAACTAAATTTCTAATAAGTTTAAGTAAAAAATATTATAAATTTAGTGCATGATTTAGATTTAGTATATAAAAACAGCAATTTTGAGAAATTGTCGAATTACAATATTACCCATTTGGTTTGGTTCGGTTTGACATTTTAATATTGATAAAAATGTCAAACCTCTCATAAACCTATTTTATCTATTGAACTGTTTTGTCTTTTTCTTTTAAACTATATTCCTAGTTTGAATGAAAGTGACAATAGAATGTAATAGTTAAAATAGGTATGTATGTTTTACTTTTTATAAATAAAGGGGTTAGATTAAGAGTGACAGAGATAGAATCGAAGCATTTAGCGTTCCATTGTTTCTGCCTACCCTAATGGGAGACAGGCTTGACAGTATGTAAGTATATAAGATAGGTTTAGAAAAATGACACCTCAGAATCTTGCCCATTTTTTACATTTGTTTTTTTTACATCAAAGCATAACTAAAAATATATACTTACGCGTGTTTACATACACTATCGGACAAAATTAAGGGATACAAAAAAAAACAAAATTTTTAACGATTTTTGAAATGCTGTATCTTTGATAAAAATGGTAAAATTACTTTAATGCGACCATTATCAAAGACACGGTCATTCGTAAAATCGCAAAAAATTAGAATTTTATTTTGGTCCCTTAATTTTTTCCACTAGTGTATTATAAATCTTCAAATACCTATCTACCTATCTATATTATTTAAAACTCATTATACAACATAATTTTTCATTAACTTAATAGATACTGAGTAAAATAATGTCGCATGCACATTATGAGGCGAAAGCGACTAAAAATACGTAATATTCACACCAAATGCTTAGTTTTTGAATGAAAAAAAAAGAAACGTTAAATCAAAGTTTTTTTTTTAAATATTCTATTCCACCATCGTTTATTCAAATTTTTTTTAATAATAAATATATGCGCATAGTTTTTTTTTTAAACGCAGTGGTAGGCATGTGTTGGACTGTGTACGATTTCCTAGCGTTAAAATAAATAGAGTATTGTGTACTCTTTCATCACAATATGAGACGGAATCTACGAGGTTGATGATGTAGACACTAGAACACACTAAATCTATTTTACTCGATACCCTCACAATACAAAAATTTCCACTCTATTGTATATTTTGTATTGACCTGTGCATTTCCTATATCTAATATTGTATATATTTATAAATAATTTCAATATGTCTATCCACTACACATATAGGTCAAGCTCTACTTAGTTTAAGACTAGATGGCGCTCTGTAATGTATCCAGGGATTAGGGAGTACTCGCCCTATGGCCGGTATCGCCCTCTGGTGTCAAGAATTACAAGGCCGCGTCGTTATACACGAAAGCTTTTTAAACGACTGAATGAACGACAATTTTACATGGTTTACGAAAGATACGAGTAAGTGAGAATCACTTTTAAATAATCAAAACATGAATTAGAAAATTCAAAATATTATCCTGGGATTCGATTTTGTGACCTGCACCGCAACTGAGCTGCACATACATAAACGATGAGTTAGATCGACTGGTACGTAATAGGCAAGCGGGCGATACCTACAATATAGATATTAAAACCGGTCGAGTACTCTGAGTACGCGTCGCCCACTTTGTATATTATTATAAAAGAGAGAATTAAATTGTTTCCTAAAAAAAAAACCGATGTAAATTTATGGCATGACCAGTTGTTTTGATTTAAAAAACAAACTACTGACACGATTTTGGTAAAATTTCTATGGGAATAATTTTGTAAGTATATCCTTTCAGATGAAAAAGAATTTTCCGTGATTATGAGGTAACAAAGAAAAAGAGGGTTGACGTCAGGCAGGTGGCCGGTCGTAAAACTAAAAAAACCAAATCTTTTTGTAATATGGATAAAATCATATTACGCCGACCCCAAATGAATGGGATAAGGGTAGGAAGATGATGATATGAGGTAACAAATATAAAATATGCTCCTTTCCACTCAGAGTTTGCTGGAAGAGAACTCTTACAGAGTTAAATTTGTCTGTTGTACGTCTTCATTCAATATAGACTTTAACTATAATTTTTGTAAGTATAAATAAATAAAAAAAAAAATACAATAGAATTGAGAACTGCATTCTTTTTGAAGCATTTTTAAGTTGGTAGAAATTTGCGAATGATCCTAAATTAACACTTTTTCTCAGCATATCCATCCACGATTGTTTCAAGACCGAATATTTTTCTTTGTATATAAATTAACTAATGCAAATCAGCTTAGTTGGGAATTAGGTAGACATTTATTTTATTCCTTACTCATTCATCAATTCCCATTAATGTCGTATTATTCGAGGAGGATATTTGCCTACTACTTATTACCGCACTGGCCAGGCGGCTTGGTATAGTTTTCATTTCAAATTTTTTGTTTCACATGATGTTTCGTTCGCTTAGCCATATATAATTCTTGAGCCATAAGTATAGTAAACAATTGCTTTTTTATTAAAGCTTAGTTTGAACACGAGAAATCGTCGAAATAACAACACGATAGGCACATAGTGAAGACCGAATCTTATAGGTATCATTCCACACCGGCAAATATTATTTCTCTCTATTCCCGAGGGTCTACCATGACATGGTTTTCGAAATTTCGGGGCCGAACGAAACACAAAGTTGTTTTTAAAACTACATGACACATACCGATTAAAAATGGTAAAATATCGTTTTCTTTTTTTAGACTTTTATAGTAGAATTTATAACGAATCAAATGTTAAGCTTCATTGACTGGGCCGTTTTCGGTATAATCAAAAACACGAAATTGAGTCCGAAAATTCGGAATTAAATTTCATGGTAGTCCCTCTGAGCAGTAAAGTTTTCACTGATTAATTCAAACAACAATTCCTTTAAACTATCTTGAGCTTGTACATGCGCTGTATTCTATCTTCTCTCTTCTATTCTTTGCTCTCATAGTGTCTTTGGGTTTCCTCTTCAAACATTGGCCGTTTCAAACTTACATAGAGATGGGATTAACTGCAAAAAATTTCAAGGGCGTGAATAAAAAATATATGTATAGACATATAAAAAAAATTCACAATATTTACGCAGAAATAAATACGGCGAGATTTTTTTTTTATACAACTTAGAACAGCAAACAAGCTGACGGCCCACCTGATGGAAAGTGGTAACCGTCGCCTATAGACATGAGCAGTACCATGGACATAACAGAGTATACTGTTTCGCACATGATACCCCCCATGCGTTGCCATTCCTGAGGGCTCAGATGTTATACCTCTGTACCCAGTAAATTCACGCCATATCTCACCATTCAAACCGAAACACAGCCATGCAAACACAGCTGCTTCACGGTTGAAACACGAAAAAAAAACAGAGGTACCCAAGCAATCAACTTCTGTACAAAGTCTCCCTCTGGTGAATGTTTCATGAAGAATAAAATTTTGTATTAATATTATTGTAAAAATTTGTTTTTTTTAACAAGTGAAAATAGTAATACGCACTAATTAATACGGTAAGATGTTTTAATGGAGAATAAAATGTGCATATATATTGTTGTGAAAGTGAATTTTTTTAATAGAATAGAATACAATAGAAACATTTATTGCCAATAAACATACAATTACAATATAAAATATAAATAACATATACAAGAAGTGTACCATACTAGGCAAAAGGAACCGGCTCAGCTGATGCTGTGAGTGTCCCAGCGCAATGTGAACGCACAGCACTGGTTTTCAGCCAGTACCTCTCTTAACAAAACATAAACAAAGTGCAGGGTACTACTGTGAATTGTAAATGTTAATGGGTGAAAATGGAATGGTAACCCCGCCTGCGCTAACAGTATACGCTAGCGGGGCACCAATGAGGAATGATAATTGAGGATGAAGCAGATCAGTTTGCTCATCATGGCGAATTCGATAAGAATTAACCATGATGATTTCCAGGGGAAACCGCGTGGAGGTCAACCTGATTTGGTATATAGTAGTCATAATAATATTAAACACCATTAACAATCACTTTTCCCCTTAGGGGGGAAAGAGATTGTTAGTAACGGAGACTAAGAATCCCATTGCTAGCAATATACCTAACCAGGTCGACCTCCTCGCGGTTCCCCCTGGAAATTATCATGGTTAATTCCTAATGAATTCATCATGATGGGCTAACTGGCCTGTTTTCATTCTCATCTATCACTCTTCACTGGTGTTTCGCCAGCGTATCCCGTTAACACAGGCGGGGTCACAATTCTATTTTCACCGATCAAAAAAAATCACTTTTCCCCATGTGAAAGTTAGTTCACTTATTTGTTACCTCTTAGCATCTTAACGGCTTAACCAATCATTGAAATTTCGTATTTAATTAATGTATTTATGGTATGGAGAACGGAATAGGCTATATTTATTACGGTCAGTGAACACACTGCGGTCACACAAACCAAATCGCGGATAAAAGCTAGTCTAAAATATTTGAATTTACAATACGGAATCCTAAATCGTAAAGTTTATTTTTCTCTGCACCAGTCGGAAGTTTGCTGCGCAAAAAATACATTTATTTATTTATTTTAATTTATTCTTTATTGACCACATTACAAAAATGTCTGGTTCAAAAGGTGGACCTAATGCTATATAGCATTATCTCCCAGTCAACCTTTAGCAAAACAGAAATGTAATTATGCGGTGTAAAATTGAAAATTATTGTAGATAAATAGTTACAGACGATATTGACTTACAAATTATATAACATTCGACTTAAATTCTAACAAAATTTATATGGGAGCAACAATACCTCTATCGTTAACTTTGTCGATTGCAAAAACAATAATTAAAATCGGTCCCGAGATGGTCAAAATATCACATAAAATACATATTTACAGGGAGAAATAACACCTGAGTCTTCAGGAATGGCAACGCATGGGGGGTATCATGGGCGAAACAGTATACTCTGCTATGTCCATTATAGGCGACGGTTACCACTCTCCATCAGATGGGCCGTCAGCTTGTTTGCCGTTCTAAGTTGTATAAAAAAAAAAACGATAAATTGAGAATTCCCTCGCTTTGAAAATCCCACAAAACAAAGAAACATTTCTCATAACTAGTCTAAAGCAAAAATAAATCATATAACTACGTAATATTTGTATGAATTGTACGCAAATCTAACGCTTAATTTCAAAGATCGTTCTATACGACAAAAATTTAATATTTCGCTTTAAATATCTGATGATCAAGATCTAGTATGAACGCGAAAAGAGACCGGTCCCTCGTGAGTTGATTCATTGTTTATAAAAACACTTCCGCGTGGCTTCCGGGCCGCGGCGTCGAGTGAATCATTGGCTTGCTATCTGATTCATGCGCGATACAAAACAATTAGCAAGTGACACCGCACGCCGCTCGCGTGCCACGAACAGAACACTGATATGGTAATTAGATTATTACCAGCCACGTGGGAATTAATTGCTATAACAACAAAGTAACAATTGAAACACTTTTATAATCCTCCCTAAACAAAACTCTACTTATAATATATAATATATGATAAACACTTTACTTGAGCCATTTATGACACACGTAAATTAACAAATACATTTATACAATCAGATTATTTACATTTTTTCAAATATAAAACAAAAGATGAAATATGGAGATATGTTTTCACCAAGTGTGTCGCAGTGACCCAAATAGGCTACAGCTCTGTGATAGTTTTGCTTAAAAGCAAAGCACTGATTTTCAGCTGCAACCCGAAGTAAGGCTACACGGACGCGTGCAACAAACCCAGAGTGTAATCTGTGTAACCAATTTAACAGCAAAAGGTAAAATTGTATTATATAGATACATACTTATATAAATGATGCATAAATAATATATTTCATTAATTAATTAAACATACAGTGATATGTGCATTAGAAAATTTTTACTTAGTCAATATAATCGTATTACTCTTTTCCATCCAAAGGTTGCCTGGAAGAGGTCGTTTTTAGCGATAAAGCCACCTATTGTTTTCTCAGTAAGATAATTATCTTGTAATTGTATTTATAATAAGTTTACTATTGTAATATTTTGGAGGAAACAATAAAAAATATCTATCTGGCGTGAGATCAGTGGGGGATGGTAAATGAGGATGAAGACAGGTCAGTTAGCCCATCGTGATGGAATGCAGATCCACTTGGAAGTCAGCATAATAGGTACCAGTAGAGAGCCACGTGGAGATCGTCCTGTCAGGGTATATTGCTAGCAATGGGACTGGTAGTCTGCATTACTAATATACTCTTCACCCCCATGCCACTCTATTAGGTTGACTGGAAGAGTCTCTTTTAGAGACAAATTCACCTTTGCTTACATTGTTTCCAATTGTTATTGTTAATTTAGTTTTCAATTGAACAGACAACAGTAGACACTTTTTATTTTATATACTATTGTTTATTTATTTTTTTGTTTTGTTCTTTTGTATGCTACTGTGTGAGTCGCATGATTCTTTGAATATTTTTTTTTCTTTCTTTATTATCACTGTATATTTTAATGCAATAAAGTATATTTATACTGCTATTTTTTTTTTATACAACTTAGAATGGCAAATAAGCTGACGGCCCACCTAATGGAAAGTGGTAACCGTCGCCTATAGACATGAGCAGTACCATGAACATAACAGAGTATACTGTTTCGCCTATGATACCCCCCATGCGTTGCCATTCCTGAGGACTCGGGCGTTATTCCTACTGTACCCACTAAATTCACGCCATATCCCACCCTTCAAACCGAAACACAGCCATGCAAACACAACTGCTTCACGGTTGAAACACGAATGGGACTGAGGTACCCAAGCAATCAACCACGATATACTATTTAATTTTCGTTATAATTTTGTTATGATTATAATATTTTATTGCTGTATATTTTAAAAACATTTCATACGCTGTACGCGAACAATGTTTATGTTTAAATAAAAAAAAACAATGTGCGCCAATTCTTGCATTTCTTACCAACTGTGGAAATTATTTTTAGCTCACTACAGCTGCTGTAGGTAGAAACAATAAACTTTTAATATTCCGACCATCTGCATATTTATATTGCAGGGGCCCTGGCCCCTTAAGAAAGGTGCATACGTGCTTTTGGACATATCTTTGTTTATAGCTGAATGTTCTGCTAATTTTGGGGTGGGCATAGGCAAATTTAAGGTGGGAACTTCCCATCCGACCCCCCTTTAAATATCTCTATGATATAAGTCTATGAATTCCGATTGTGAATTCATAGATTAGCACATCGCAGAAATAGAAAGTATATTTATTAATATTATAAATGTGTTTTTAAGTTTGTTTGTTACCTCATATTATCATTATAAAAGACCTTTTACCAGAGGGAGACTTTGTACAAAAGTCGTTTGCTTGGGTACCTCTGTCCCATTCATGTTTCAATCGTGAAACAGTTGCTTACACGGCTGTGTTTCGGTTTGAAGGGTGGGATATGGTATTGAATTTACAGGATACAGAGGAATCCGCTGTAAGAAATAACAAATTAGTCCTCAGGAATGGCAACGCATGGGGGGTATCATGAGCGAAACAGTAGTCTGTTATGTCCATGGTACTGTTCATGTCTATAGGTGACGGTTACCACTTTTCATCAGGTGGGCCATCAGCTTGTTTGGCATTCTAAGTTGCATAAAAAAAATCGGTAAAAACATAGTATTAGGGATGAAGAAAGACAGACTACTTTTTACCCTTGTCAATAACCATCCAGTTACGCGGACAAAGTCGTTGGTAAAAAGTAGTATCTAACTATCTATTGTAACTATCCAATGCTGAACATAGAGGGAGTTCTACGAAATAATACGAATATAGTAAATAAATCGTAATTACCTACAATGACCTTGACGGTGTAGCGATGACATACTGACTCACATTCCGAAGGTCACGGGTTCAATCCTCGCACATTACAAACATTTGTATCCAAGTGTGTACCTATGTCTATTTGTATTTCTGAACCTTTTTAGTGTATTTTGTATTTATTTACAAACAAAAAATATATTTA